GATCTCACCATAATTTTCCTTTTTAAGAAAAGCACACGAGTCTCGTTAAAGATTAATCAAGAAGAAAAAATGCTTAAAAATACTGTTAGTATTAAACAATAGTACTAATAAAAAGTGAGTGTCACATGTGAGTCTGATATTACGAGCTACATCTTTTATTAGTAGACACTAATATAGGAGGGACTACAACAAGTACAGCAAAAGTGCCAGGGTATTACAGTCTAAAACCCAACTGCCTATTTCATGGGCAGCCCTGTTAAACCTTCTAGTAGTCTGAGATTAAGTCATATTAGCAAAAACAGAATAATTTATCTAGAGGCTAGAGCGAGTAATATGCTAGAATGACTATCCAACAAAGTAAAATTAGCAAAATGACATTCTTCTATTTTTCATGAAGAAAGACATTTACTCATTCTTTGTAAAAAGAGGTCATTTTGTAAATTAAAATTATTAAAAAGTTATTTTACTAATAAAACTTTTCAAAAGAGTTATTTTTACAAAGGCCTCGGCTAGAGCTAAGAAAATTGGTCAAGCTTCCCATGTTTAATGTAGAGTTCAAATCCGGAACCTCTAGTTCAAAATAAATAAATAAATAAAAGATTTATTATGGGAATTTCGGTGAAATGCTTAATCACTCTCCAATAACAATTAAAAAGAACCTAAAAAGATATGGGCTTAGTTTGGTAGTGTTGTAGATTTTGAAAAAATTATTTTTAGCTGTGCTGAAGGAAGAAGCAGCTGTTACAAAAAGCAACTAAGTGTTTGGTAAATTATAATTATAGTACATGTGCTGATTTTAAAATCAGTGTAATAATATTTTGTAAATTATGAGGTTGAATCGTTGTAAATAGTTAAAAAGTACGACTATATTATATTATACAATAATATAATATATATAATTACAATATAATATATATTTACTATTATATTTAATATAATACAAAAAACTATTATTATATAATTATAATATAGAATATAATAATATTATTAAAATAATAACTGAAATAATTAAAAATAA